GTCCGACCCGCCGCTGCGACATGCCGAACTGCGCATGGAGCGCAAAGGACTTCAGCAACTGGTACACTTCTCGAGTGCGTGTCTTCCTTGGATAGTACACTTCTATAGTGCTTGTCATCCTTGGTAAAAACCGGCCAAAAGCATCGAAGCGAAATATCGATGCAGCGAAACAAGGTCAGACTGTCACCACCTGTCTCTTAACTAGCGAACTAGAGTTTGTATGGAAGTAGGGATACACTATTCTTCACAGCAGGTGGTGGTGGTGGTGGTGGTGGTGGTGGTGGTGGTGGTGGTGGTGGCGCTGGTGCTGGTGCTGGTGCTGGTGCTGGTGCTGCGTGTGGTGCTGGTATCTGCACCTCAAGATCCACAAAGTGCTGCGCCTGTCACGAAATCTGCACTTCAAGGTCGTGCCTGCCACGACATCTGCACATCAAGGTTCACAGCGATTCACAGAAAGAGCACTTCCAAAGACAACGTCAAGATGCCAAAACGCAGCTGTTGCTCGAGACTTCCTCCGATTTCTGAAAACCAGCCACCTGTCCAGCAGCCACGATTCACTGCACCTGCCACGAAGCCAGTGCACACCGAAGACCACCATATCCAAAGCACTGCGCCTGCCATGAAATCGGCACATCGACATAGAACCACTCCCACAACGAGAGGGCAGTCTCGAAGAGCACCCGCTCGCGCCCACCAGATTCTGCGAGCCCGGGCAGCCGAAATGCACTTCGGAGATCTGGAGGTGAACGTACCGTGCTGCAAATAGTAGCGAATAAGCCGGACACGCCGATGAACACCTCGATCAGACACCCGTCCTTAACCACTACTGTAAGAATCCCTAGTGTGGACGCACTGTGTGGGGGGAAATGTATCAGATATAGTAATGTAATATTGATTAACATTGTATGACTGTACCTAGTGCCAAGTGCCAATCTTCACACTTTTTCAAGCGCCTTCAGGGAGTTCTCACTAATGAAGCGCTCGGCTGCATCTTTGCACCGGTCGGATGCTCGGACACACAGAGTCTGGACACTGCCATCCCCAATTTTCACCTGGGCGGCTGCGCATCTCAGCCCGGGTTGGCAAGGAGTTCGCTAGCGTTTGGTGCCATAGCGGCTGAATGAGCTGCCTTCTGCAAAGCATCTGGGCCATGCGAACTGCTATACTTAATTTGACACTGTGTCGGCATCCGACAAGGTTAAGAACCTGTGAGGAATCCAAAGAAAAAGTTGCTTGATGTCGCCTACCTGTCCAAATCTCAGTCAGGAGACCTGAGCTTCAATCAAAATAGTCTCTTGTCTGGAGGTGGGGGACTTCTCCTTCGTTTCCTTGGCTGAGCATCTGAGAGTGGACAGTGCTTTCTTATGTTTAAACAGAAACACAGCGGGGAAGCGGGCACCACATGGCACCACAAAGTTCAAGCAAAAGTCCGTCTTCTCTTCCTTCTCAGGTGCCTTCTCAACTTTTGCTTCGGGCACCTGCAGCCACATCATGCCACATCAATCAGATCAATCCACAAGTGTGACTAATACTGTAAGCACAAACTATTGGACTCTGGAATCTCGTTTTCCTCTTTGAAAAATCGATGTCTCTGTCTCCCAAGTGATCCATGGAATCTTGAAAAGCCTCATGTTCCTTTGCCTCAGTCTTCTCCACCGGCTTCGGCTTCTCCGCTCCTCGTCCGGTGCTTTCTGCGGGCTCCGTCGTCTCCTAGCGTCCGTGGCGGGACGCCTCCTCTCCACCCAGAAGCAAGGATGAACGTGCAAAAGAAGCTACTAGTAACTAGGGCATCGCTACTAGTAACAAGGGCATTACTACTATATAATAGAAGCTACCAGTAGTAATGCCCTTGTTACTGGTAGCGATAAGTTTACCATACGAGTCTTCAGCCAAAGCCTACAAGTGTATCATGGTGTATCATCCCAACCAGCGATGCTTGATGAGCCAGCGACGCTTCATGAAATAAACAATTACGTGACCGTGACTCCGTTGAAATCTATGAACGCAAACTCATGCGCGCCCCGGAAAGCTAACCTGAAACAGGCTTGTAGCATGCTCAAGTGGGCGTGTGCGTTTTCGGGGACCGATTGAATACCTGGAGGGCTTTTGCAAAGGGTTCTTTGATCAACTTCAGTTTGCCACGGAAGCAATGTAAAATCAGACTGTCACTGATCATAAGCTTGGGATAGCTTTGCCGTTGCCGTTGCCTGACAAAAAATCAACTGTCCTGAGAAGCTTCAGATGCCTGAAGCACCAGGGCACACTTCAGACACAATCCCAACGAGGCTCAGTGTCAAAACCCTTTGGGGGTGGGGCTCTTATAAAAGGTCCCACACTGCCACACTTTGAAACAGGCGGACTTGGACCCACCATCAAACCAAGGAAATACCATTTGAAATACATTGTGCCTATCCTAGCACCAGTGACGGCGGACGATGATCGTTAGTAAAGGCCTTTTTCTCTAAAATGATGATTGTGCGCCGACTGTTACAGGTGGGACAGACCCAAGAAATACACAAGAACCCTACAAGAAACCCAAATGAAAACAACAGCACGACCTTCACGTTTTGAAAGCTCACGGCAGCACAGGGTGGTCTCGAACTTGCGGACGCGACGTCTCAGTCTCGCTCACGGACCTTTCCACTATGGTAGGAGGGGTTTCCAAAGGTTGGTGACACAAGGTGTCATACGCATGAATTAGGGCATCCAGGTATCACTGACAAGTGCGAAAAGCTTGCGAATGGATTCGGACCATTGAGTAAATTGAGCTGTAGTTAAAATCTCCTTGCAACGATGAACGGCAAGTTTGTAGAATCCTTCTAGGAAGCTCATGGCCCTTCTTCTAGTTGCCCTTCCAATGGTGCCAGCTGAGATTTGACAGGTGGTCCAATGAGTTGATCAGTGGACCTTTCCTGTGGGTTCCCTGGCGTTTCCTGGTTTCTGCAGCTGCTGGGGAATTCGGCAGATTCCAACAGAGGAGCTACAGTAGCTGGCCTTTGAAAAGGCTAAAATTGGCTAAGACAATGGAAAGTCCAAAGCACAAATGTCAAAACAAAAAGACAACCCAACAGACATGTCACGTCCTTTACCAAATCTTCTTGCTGTCTATTGTGTCTATTCGGTTCTTTCCTTCTGCTTGCTCTTTCCTTTCACTTGCCACGTGTTTGTCTTTTGCGCTGTTGCTTCATAACCTTTCACCCCTTCTTTGCCATGTGTTGTTTGCAGTATCGAAGTTGCCCTTCGGAATCGCCTGTTGTCTGCCTTTGGCTTGCCTCTGCTAAATTTGTGAAGCAAAGTTGAATCAACGTTCTTTTCAGGCTAGGACAAGAGCGACAGGAGCGCAACAAAACCACACGAACCTGGCTGTGGAGAACAACCACTTCACTTCCAAACCCTTGATTCTTATGCGTTGTTTCCCGCTTTGCCTGACTATCCAGAGTCGAATGTAGACCCAATACTGGGCTCACTTCTCAAGACAGCCCATCCTCTCTCGCACACACAATTAGTATGAAAGCAAGCTAATGGGACTTGTCCATCTGTTGCGTTGGTGGTTCGTAACGTGGGTCATTGCAAGCTTTTGGTTCTGGGCGCGGCGATATTAAAATCTGTGTTGTGTTGGCGGTGCCGGCAGCACAACACCCGCATGCTCAACAAAACCAAGACCCAGTGTTAGCAGAGTCGCCAGTTGCGAAGAACATCTGATGCTGCTCTGATGGGCCCAGCCTGCGTTGTGGCACTGGTGGTGGACTCAGACGGGGCCGCGTCTGACTTCTCAACCTAGGATGACAGGCGCAGGCTACAGTTGACAAGTCTTCATCGCCATGCTTATATAAATACTTTGAGATCTTCTAAGTGCGCAGAACACACAAAATGGAACTACGGCTCATGTAAACGTGATGTCATCACGCGCATCTTGATAGCTTGCCCCCATTTGCACCATCCGTGTCTCTTGAGCTATATAACCAAATCGTTGAGTTCCAGACCGCTACAACAGTTGGCTCCTTCTTGCGTGTCTTTCCTGAAACCAACCAAGCAAGCGCTTTGGCCTTCGAAACATGACAAAGCCATGTGCACAAGGCACGCAATGGCACGCAGGTGTTTTCGAATGTCCCGACTCCATGGCATCCATCTGAGATGGGAGGTCAAAAATAGTAGCTTATTGTTACTAGTAGCTAGTTGCTCCTAGTAGTAATGTCCTTGTAGCTAGTAGCGATGCTCTTTGTTACTTTGTTCCAAGTAGCTGCTAAGTAGCTTCTTGTTTCTAGTAGTATGGCCAGGAGCTGCTAGTAGCTTCTTGTTACTAGTAGTACGGTCAGGAGCTACTAGTAGCGTCCTTGTTACTAGTAACAATGCCCTAGTTGCTATGAGCTTCTTGCTACTATAGTAGTATGGCCAGGAGCTACTAGTAGGGTCCTTCCTCCTAGTAGTTAGTAGCGATGCCCTTTGTTCCTAGTAGCGTCCTTGTTACTAGGGTCCAAGAGTAAACATGCTGTGGTCCAACATGTGCGAGAGGAAAAAAGCATGCTTCACATTCAACAGCCCTTTTTGTGCAGGGTTGCTCACACCCGAAGCCACGTTCACTAAACATTTCCAGGCTTGGCCAAGTGAGTAGTGAAGGATTGTGAAGGCATTCCCGCGTGTGATAGAATGTTGCCCCTCCTCCGGTCAATACCTTCAGTCATATGGTACTCAGGATGATGCACAATTTACGGAGTGTTGCTAGTGGGGGGGTTCTGCAAGATTCAATACAGGTACTCTTATGTGCTCTTCTCCCATCTCAGTTTTGGGTCTGGTGACGCATAACGACACCGTGCAGCCACGCCTGCTGGAACTCGTTGAGCTGTTGAAGCCTGCGGACCAGGCAGCACTTGCTTCTTTTACTCATGGCAAAGGTCTGCTCGGCGCACAACCATTCATCCAGTGCACACTGCATGAATATCTTGTTATGGGCATGTCGAGGTTGATTCTGTGATAAGCCCTATTGCAGCACGCACTGACCCTTAACAATGCTGCCAAGTGTCTGCAGCAGAGACCCGGACCTCATCCACCTTTTTGGCAATCTCACTCCTGAGCTCACCGAGCCCACAAGGGTGCAAAACACATCCGAAACATATCGAAAAATATACTGTTCCAATCAAAACATGGTACTGTAGTAAGGAGACGTCCGGTAGTTGAAACTGTTGGTTGGAGTTGGTCGGTTATCTGGGCCTTTACCAGGGTAGTCCGGTAGTCCCTTCCAAATGATCATGCTCTCGGCGTATATTTCAGTATTGAATAGCATGTCCATGAGGGACAGGGACGACTAGAATTGCTATAGGAACCATATCCAAAGGGCAAATCCAAAAAAGATCAGAAAAGAACCTGGATACCCTGTCAGCCTCTGCTGTCCACTGTGAGCTGACAACACTTCTTTAAAGTCTGATTGCTGAACTCTGGGCAGAACTGCAAACTCTTCCCCAGAATCGAGCCATGTCTAGAAGGGGAATCGCATGGCCCATTGCATTACTGAAGAATAAAGCTAGCAGCCTTAATGCACTTGGACCGTGTTCACGGCCGGTCTTGTCAAGGAGACATTCCACATCAGACTTGCATCATCCAAGCTTGGAGTTGTTCACATGGGTTCTGAGTCCCATGTATATGACTGTTGAACCAAAGATCAACAGTACTCCACCTGATTCTGCGGCTTCCGATTTGATGGTTCTTCCCGCCTGTACGGAAACCGGAGCCCATCTCACCTTCTGGGTGGTACCTGTACGGAGCCTCCGAACCGGTGCAGTGCCGTGCACTATCCAAGCATGGCAAGCCGCCGCTTCTCTTCCCAATAGCCTTGCGCTCTTTGCCAGAAAGCGCTCGAGCGTGCCTCTTCAAAGGCAGTGGACAGCTTCTTCACGGCCTGCTTTCCCATGTCTTGCACCTCAGCTCCAAGAGAGGGGGCGCGTGTCTCGGCTCCACAAGTCAAAATGCATGTCTCGACCTCTGTTCTTTGATAGTCCTACTTTTGCGCTCCCAAACTCCGGCCTCCTGCACTTTCTCCTGTACGTTGACATTGGGCAGCTCATGTGGGACCCCATGTGCCAAAGCCGCCTGCTTGAGCGCTGCTAAGGGGTTGGGCCCCTCGGGTTTCTCCCCAGGCTTCCTGATCTCTCCGATGTGCTCGCCAGCCACGTAGGCGGTGTCGCGTGGCTTCACGGTCTCCCAGAAGCGACCCACGAAATCGAGGGGGCCTTCTTCCAACATGGGTTCCACCGTGTTCTGCGAACCTGGTGCTTGCTGAAAGACACATCTTCTCACATCCACATGTATTCCAGTGCAAGGGCTACACAGCCACACCCTACCATGCACGTTTGCTTTCATGTCATGGTTTTCGGGTCTGAGGCGGCTGCCAATATGCAGCTTCTGCAGCTCCTTCATGAAGAGCGAGATGGTTTCATTCAGCTGTCCCTGCGCAGATCGAAGACTGAGGGGCTCATGTTAAAATCAGCAGCATGACTCTATCATACATCGCAGGGATAAATAAAACCATATTAACCGGCGCTATGGGGAGGACTCTGGCGGCCTTCTCTTTCTGAAGCAAGTCTCGCTCTATCTCCAAATCCTTCAACATCTCCTCGACTGCAAACAAGACTCACAAGCACTTCTCCATTTCTTACCATGGTCTGAACCGAGTCCAGAATCTTATGGCAAGCTGTTCCAAGGCACAAGGCAAAAAGGGTGAAACATGTGGTCATCCTAAAGATGCCAATGCGAATGCTTGCACTTGCATTGCTTGCCAGGTCCCACAACGAAAGACGCCCCCGCAGCCAAGCTTCAGTGAGGGACTCGTGGCCCTTTGTGAGGCGATCTGCCATGCCCCGCAGCTCAGTGGCATCTTTGTCTGCGAGCCTTGCAAAACCGCGACTGGTTCGTAGCAACCCCCAAAATAGTTGTGTATATATATATGCACACATAGAAACCATGTTCAACAAAGATTTGGAGTTGCAACTCTTCTATATAATTCTATATATGTTGGGATCCTTAACTATAATAAAATCCATCTTGGGAGGTCTCTGTGTCATCTTGTTGTGCAACAGATTGTGGATCCATAAATCATAAGTCACTCACAAGATTGATATGGAGCTGGCCCGTTCATGGATCATGAGGTGTCCAAAAGCAGCATAGGACATGTCCAGAACAGGGCGCTGATGTTACGTTGGCTCTTTTTCGTGGACATGGATGACATGCATCTCCTGACTGTGCTCCTTGCATGGCTCCTGACTTCGGCCAGAAAAAACACCAAAAATCAACAAAGGTATCTGCAATGTGCCGATCTTCGTTGTACAACCCACTACACTTCGAGCTTGTGAAGCGAACGGGGTCAATCGCAACTTCTTGCGTCCACGGCACGCAGCCATGGCTTCTGCCCCAGTGTCACAGCCATTCGCGTGCTCCGCCATGGGCGACCCAGTGGCACTTTCACTATGTGGATTGATCCCTAGAGCCACAAAAATACACGTGGATGGCACAATGACGCTCCCACCCTCAAAGATTGCACACAAACTTTTCTGAGGGCTTTCCTCTGAAACAAACCACTCGATCAGAAGCCGCGTAAGCGACTGGTCCTGGCACTATGCTGCTACGCATGAGGCGCCGCGTAAGCGACAGCGTCAAAGTGGCCAGTGCCTGCCTGGACTCGGTTTTCGGATCTTCCTTGATTTTTTGCAGCAGCTCTGCCTTGGAGGCTGAGAGGTCTGGGGACAAGGGGAAAAAGCGGAGCTACATGTGTAGGGCCTGACCCCCTAGCACTTTACACACAAAGTTGACCACAGTTGCTTGGTGATTTACGCATTGAGTGGCTACATTTGCACATTGCACGGCCTTGGCTCTGACCTAATTTGAAGTGGCCCTCAAGCATCACTTCACTACTAATGGTGCCAAGCATCCAACCGCGCAGCCACGTGAGGCAATACAAAACTCAAATTACTCATCTACCATCAGTTACCATTTGAGCCAGTGATTTAAGATCGCTGCCACTGCCTTTGCTTGCTCCTTGCCGCGTCCTGCATCACCCGATCCCGATCCATTCGTCGTGGTGACGAACGTAACAACTTGACTCGACCAACTTCATCCAACTTCTACTCCTCAGTGCCACCCCCCTGAGATACGGAACCCCAATTTTCCCAGTCACAAGCTTTCCAGGAACCGCCTTTGCCAAAGACCGACCACTCGACCATCAATGGCCGTGGCATGAACCAATTGGATCCAATTGGCAAATTACATTGTCATGAATCATGAACAGAACCCGGTTCAACATAGACCCCATTGAAACGGTTCTTGCCGGTGTGACATCATCCGGCAACGCCTGTCAAGCCAGGATCAGGCTCGCGACCTAAATGTGAGATGAAGGTCTAGCGCTTGGACTTGAACTTTCACCCAGTGCCACGAGTGAATGTTGTTCACCTCGTCCAACGCTCAATGGATGTGTAGGATTAGGATGTGTATATTATATATATGTATATGCGTGTGTTTATTTATTTATATCTCAGCAATGGTGCAAGCTAGATCTTTGTGAGACCCAATCTCCGAGCATGTGAACCCAGAGCGGGACCACAAATCTTGGCAACAATATGTGCTCGCCAGCTTGCCAGCGAGTTAGAATTCTTGGGAGATGAACTTTCAAGATGCCAAAACACACCATCAACAGCCGTGCAGCTGTACCATTTGTGTTCTGTACATGGTTTTTGGATGACTATGACTATGAAGTTGACTATGATCACAAACGATCACCTGGTCCGACCCCATTGCGAGCCAAAGGGCCAGGTCGCGGGGAGGGCAGCAAAGCATCGGAAGAAATGGACAGTTCTGCCTGGCGCGTCGGACAAGGTGTGTAGCCAAGTGGCATGAACAGGATGTGGTGCTGATGGTAGGCCTCAAGTCTCTTGAAGTAAAGTTGCTCCCAACTGTTCTTCCCAGTGTGTTAGGTCTCATCAGCTTGAAATGCTGGATGTAAAGGCAGAACAGTTTCTTTACGCAAACTCTGCCAGGAATGATTGCTTTTGCACGCTGAGCTTCAAGCCGGTCTCACGTTGCTGTGTCAAAAGCAAGGCATCAAAACAAAGAGCACTACTAATGTGACAATTCGCAAATGGCTGCTCCTTCAGTACACTTGGCGTGATGCCCAAAGCAATGATCTCGCCAGTCTGCAGTTGCAGTGGGAGCACCTCCTTGCTGGAATGGCCAGACCTGGACCACCAATGTTCGCCAATGTTGGCATCGTGGGCAACGGCAACCAGCCTGCTTTTCACAATGCGTTCATCAGTCCTTCAACCCATTGGACACAACGAGACCACGACTGCGCGACTGCCTTCGATCGAAAGTGGAGCTTTGCTGCTCCTGAGGGCTGGTACCTGCACAACTCTATAGGATCTGCTGAAGGATCTATCGAAGGAAGCCTCTGGGGTGGCGTAGCTTGGTGGTTACACACGCCTCAGCTGCACTTGGAACCCTTTCTTGGTGCGCCAAAAGCCTAGTGGGTCATTCTCATGTCGCTCCAAAGCCTCGCGGTGCCCATCGGACAAATATTGGATGTTGCAGGTTTCCGTGGCCCGTCCGCCTCGGCCCCAAAGGGCCTGTTCAGCTGGATGCCACCACAAAGGGCCCGATTTCGCGTCTTTGACTAAGATCTTGGGGGTGTGATGCAGCAACATCCAGTGGCCCACCCAATAACTTCTTGTGGCATTCTTGCCCTTGCTGCCCTTGCTGCCCTTGCCCCTGCCACCTTTGCTTTTGCCAAAGATTTCTGGTAACACCTTTGGGCCCTCAAGAGGTGGTAGTTCATGCCTGTTTGGAACATTGCTTGAGCTTGGGCTCCCAAGACTTCCTGTGCCACTGCCCTTTCCCTTACTCTTCACTTGTCGGTATCCACCAGCCCCATCCACAGGTCCAATTGCTTTCTTAGCAAGGACCAAGCGGAAAAACCTGCGCTTTGTCCCGTCATTTTCCTCGACCTTCTTTCCACGCACGAAGACTTGAGTCTTTTCACACTTTTCACGCCCCCCTTCATCACCTCGATCTCGCTTGCGTTTCTTGTTCTCTTTGTCCCCCTTTGCCTTCACACTCTGAAGCTCCCATTGGCCTTGCAATTCTTCAAGCTCCTCCTCAGCTGTGAGAGCTTGGCGTGTTTCTTGGTCCGCCTTGGCCTTGCACAGCAGCTTCACTGGATGCTCACCAGCCCACTTTCCAGCCTGAGCCCGGAGACGATCACACAAGGAAAACAGCTAAGGAATGAGCAGTACAAGTTGTGTACAAGATCCTACAAGCCCCCAGACACACACAAGGAAAAACAGCAACTCCTTCAAGTGGTCTTGAACCGCTTGAACCCACCCCAGCATTTCCCTGCCTGGCCTGGATACACACGACATGACCAGATTGGGATGACTCAGCTGCCTCTCCCGCCGATTTAGCGGTCGCGTTCCTCGCCCGTTTGGCGAAGAGCTGGAATCCCATGCCGCGAAAAGCAACTGCTTGAGCCGCTGAGGCTTCACCGAGGCCGAAAAAACATGAAACTGAACGAAACAGGAATACACATTATTGTTTGGCGGCCGGCTCAACGGATTGTCTTTTTAAAAGTGTATACACCCGTATACACATATACATCATTATACATTCATATATACAGTATGTACATCTGGGATCTTCGGACGGTCTCGATGAAATCGTTCTCCCCATGTGGCGGATTCGTCATGACCTGCACCCTTTCGGGCCCTTCGGCACCCCTCTTGACGAATCTGACCTGTTTCAGTTCGTCTTCTCCATCTTTCTTCTCCTCATATCCTGGCACCAGTGATGTGAATGTGACAACCCTGCGGGGTCCATGCCAATCAACAAGACCGACTTTCAGCCACTCGCTCCAGGAGTTTTGCCCGGCCTTCTCTCAAAGTACTGAGTATCCGTGGCTCTTTGGGGCTTCCCAAAGGCGATGAAGGCAGATTCGCCGAGGAATGCACATCATGCATATCCCGGCCTCAGGCGAGCGGACTTCCACGTCGAGCGGACGCTGGTGGTAACAATTATCAACATTTATCAACAATTGCAATTGATCACAGCCACCCAGCCCGGACTGCGGACTGCGCCTGTTGAACTGCACAGGCAAGGCAGCCAGCAAAGGGACAGTCTCTTCTTCTATCTGAATACCAGGGGGTAGGTAGTAGGTACAAGTGAGCTGCTGGATGCCTGGCGAAAAAGTGCAAAGCTCCACCAATACTGCCATTAAGCCCAGAGCTGTTGTTTTTCGATTCCGCATGGCGGACGAGGTACACATAGAGGGCCTGCAGCATAGAAGCGGGGCTGTTCTCCTCCTTCTCTTCCGCTGATTTCAACACACAAACCCACGGAGTTCCCTCGACGTTAGAGCCAAGGCAAGGGGTGGTGAAGGAGACCTACGTTGGAATGAAGGTCTCGGGCCCCCCCGAGCTCCCCGATTTCGCTGCCACGGCACCTTCACCATTTCATGTGTCTTGGTAGTCCTCAACACACAACCAGCAAAAACACCTACGCATTTGACAAGGCATGCAATTGCGTGTGCTCAGTGTGCTCTAAAGCATCAACAATAGCCGCTTTATTTCTCTGTAAAGTTTGCTCTGTCCCAAAAAATGTGTTTCCCTTCGCTCGTTCGGTCGTGCTGGCCATCTTCCGTCCTGTCCCCCCTGCACACGCCGAACAGGACTTCTCTCTCCTGCACGAAAAGCACAGAAAAACGAAGCCCAGCCAACCAAAGAGCAACCGACCACAACAGTCTCCAAAACGTGAAGCTTGATGAATTACAAGCAAGGCGCTTGGGTTGCAGCTTGCTTTGGCCAATGCTTATTGGCCAACCCCGCTCCGAGCCAAACGGCAACGCGTATGCAGCGACTTGCAGCAATACGGCTTACCATCTGACTGCTAGTGACAACTTCTCAAAAGATCAAACTCATGTCAATGTTGCCTTTTTCAGGTAATTAGTGGTAGAAGTAGGTACCTTCATAGTACTTCATAGGACAACTTCTGCCAATGACCCTACCAAGAAGGACAACAATCACCGCAGTTGATGTTCAAAATGGAGCTGACCCGGTTGATTTCGAGTGTTGCCACTATCCCAAAAGTGGCCTGGCTACTGCCAAACCTGCCAATGGTGAAACTTCATGAAATTTCACAGAAGCAATTGGCACCTCTTGGTTGGTCTTTCCAGTTCATACGATGGGGGTTGCATGGCATGGTCAACAAGTTTCGCCATTCGCTTACATCGGATGGGAGAAGAAAATGCAGCATAAGCGCCTTGTGAGATTGTTGGTTTGCTCTGCCATTCATGCAATTCACAACAAACAACAACACTCCACTACCCCCCATGGCCGAGGCTCGTCTTTGAGCAAGGGTCAATTCCAAACCATGTTTCATGCCAGCAGAGTGCGAACAATTTATGGTGACCTCTCTCGTTCTTGGCACAGTCTTCCTCGGACATCCTGTGATCACACTTGGACTTAGACACCTAAACTTCAAACCTTCTGCGATTGCTATCAATCCTGCATCTGCAGTACAGTATGTGGCATTCACCTGTGGCACCCAAGTCTTGGTTGTGGCAACAATTCGCAGCGCAGCTTTGGCAAGACGACATTCCAGCATGACAGGTCCTCCAAACTCAATGCTGCCTTCTGTGCAGTGCATCCAATCAATTCAACCCTTGGGCAATCTTCAAGTCCGAGTCTATGTGTTCAATGGATTTGCTCCGGCAATTCTGAGGGACTATACTTTGCTTAGGCACCACAAGTCTAGCAAGGCCTCAGCCTGGTTGCAATTCTCATAAGGATGCAAAGAGTCCAAGGGTGGCTTCAGCAAATGTTCCAACCCCTTTGAGGAGGCTGCAGGTCGCAATTTTGCCCAATGTTCAATTGGATTTCCGGAATTCCTATGGTTTATTAGGTCCTCCACCAACATGTAACATGACCATCTTCTCTGAGGAGCACCCTTGTTTTCTTTCATGTTGTTTGTATGTCTTTGTATGTTTTTGTCCTTTCATGTCATGTCCCCCCTTTCCCGTGCGATGTTCCTTGCTGTAAAGTTCACGCTGTGCACTTAAGGTTGCAGCTTTTCGAACTGTTTCATGCCCGACGCTTTCCCCACTCGAGCACCGGGTGGGCGTTCGCCTTGAGAAAAGGCGCGGCCGCGGCACCTCGTTTGGTGCCTTCGTTTTCGACCTCTTCACGGACCTCGAGCGCCGTGCTACCTTTTTCGCATTGGTAGCGGAGCCTCCTCCGGGGGGGCTCCGAGTCCTTTGCGCGAAGAAGAACGAGGTTCTGCATAAGTCCTTTGTCACGAACCCTTGGCCGAGCTCTTTTGTTTCCTCGTTGAAGAGCCCTATCGGTCTTGGCTACTTGAGCGAGAATGCCACCAACGACATCGGCTGCAGAGAGCTCCAAGGATGGAGACTACCTCAACCTGCGCGACTCCTTCGTTCCACTTTTCAGTGGCCAACCCCAGGACTACAAAGAGTATAGAAAGAGGCTGATGCTCTACCACCACAAGATGAAGATCAGCAAGCGCACAGCCGAATCTGTCCTGAACATCCTGGGAAGTTTTCAGGGTGTGGTTTGGCGGTTGTTTGAGGACTTCTCAGTCGAAGAAGCTGAGAAGGAAGATGGCTTTGGAAAGATCATCTCCAAGCTCGACAAGAACTTCGAGTATGATGATCGAGTGCTCCTTCCGAACGACTTTGAGGAGTACTTCAACTTGCTGCAACGAAAGCCTCAACAAAGCCTCCTGTCCTTCGTCACGGACCATGACACCGCCTACCGTCGTTTGACCGCCCACAACGTGACCCTTCCAGGTCAGGTTCAAGGATGGCATCTACTCCGACGTGCTGCTTTGTCAAAGGAGCAACGCCAGATGGTGACACTGAAAGCTCCCACGTTGGAAAAGACTCCAGTCATCGAGGCCCTGTACCTGTTGTTCGGTCAGGACTATGAAGCTGGCGGATGGAATGCTGAACGTGATCGCAAGTTCAACCGCTGGAAGGGCCGCGGCTACGCTGCATTCGATGACGAAGATGCCTACTGGTCCGAGCAACCTTGGCTGGAAGAGGCCTACTATGAGGCCGACGACTGGTATGATGACACTGCCCCTGACGATGAGGCTGACTTCGACTATGACGCCATCTACTACGGCGACGATGATGCTACGGGTGACCACAATGACTCACCTGAAGATCCTCAAGAGTTGGCAGAAGAATATGACCACGCCTATGCCACCTACTTAGATGCCCGGCAAAGATTCCAGCAACTCAAGTTGGCTCGTGGCTACCTGCCGATTGTCGCACTCACTGATGGTCAGAACACCTCAGCCGCCTCTGGATCCTCATCACCTTCGAAGGGGGCTGGCAAGAACAAAGGAAAGGGCAAGAACAAAAGCAAAGGAAAAGGAAAGAACGTGGTGCGCTACCCCCCCTCCTCAGGTGGGAAGTCAGATCCAAAAGGTCGTGCAAAGGCGACTACATGTCTTCGTTGTGGCCAACCAGGTCATTGGGCAGCTCAATGTCCACAAAGTGCGAAGCCTCCAGTCTCGCCCAACAAGAGACCTGCACCTACCGAAGGCATGGCCTTGCAGAATGAGACCGCCTTAGTCCTGTTCCAGGATGAGATGGGCACAGATCGACCTGACGCCACCATGTTGGACCCAGGTGCATCGGCTTTCCTCTGCGGCTACGGTCCCTTTGGCCGCTACTTGAGTCAGCTCCACTCTATGAACTACCCCATCAACACCATCCGCTTTGCTCGCTGCGATCGCCAGTTCCATTTTGGCGGCGATGCTTCCTCAAGAGCATCATGGACAGTGGACCTTCCTGTGATGATCGACGGCCAGTTCGGCGCGATTCAATGCTACTTGGTCCCTGGCAATACGCCAACGTTGATGGGCAGACCTGTGATTGAGGCCTTGCACATGGGCATCGACTTCAGCCAGAAGCGCATTCGCTTTGGTCGCTCTCCCTGGACCTCAGCGCTGGTGGGAAGTCATGGCGAATACCTGTTGAGCCTCACCACCGGCATGGAAGAAGTGCCTGACCCCACGAAAGCCCTGTTCAGCCTTCGCATTGCTGAGGAAACTCCGGGCAGCCATCTCCACTTCGATGACTTCAACAAGCTCGAACACGTGTTCCAAGCTGAAGATATGATCTTGCCAGGTGGTGAACTGCAATCCACTCGTCTTCATCGACACGCCCTTCGAACCATGGAGACTCAGCTGGTCACGACATCCAACTCCACCGAAGCCTACATCACTCAGGAGCTTCACAATCCTCCTGACCATCGACGAGTCCTCTGGGAGATCTACTGTGGCAAAGCTCGCACTGGTCACATTGCAGAGGAACTTGGCATGAAGGTGGAAAGGTTTTCTCTGGATAATGGCTGGGACTTCAACCTCATCAGCCATCAACAACAGCTACTCCAACGACTCGATGAAGAAGAACCTGACGAAGTGTTAGTGGCACCAGAATGCCGCCTATGGTCAAGAATGCAAACCTTGGCTTGCCGCACTCCTGCACAACAAGAAGCGTTGAAGGCCCGTCGTGAGCACCACCATCGTCGTCATCTCTGCTTTGCCAAGCGCATCTACCTACGACAGGTGACCAATGCACGGCATGCTCACTTGGAGCAGCCCCAGCATGCACTGAGCTGGAACACCACGGCTCTTCGAGATCTCCCTGGTTACTATGCCGACTTTGACCAATGCCGCTATGGAGCCATGTGCATGGACACCGACGGCATCTGGCGACCTGTCCAAAAGAGCACTCGCCTGCTGACCACGAAGCAGGCTGTTCTTGAAGCCTTTCAGTTGAAGTGTGACCATGATCACCACCACTGCCCTTTAGAAGGCTCTGCTCCTGGCTATGGACGCCGGACCACCTACTTGGAAGACTACCAACCTGGTTTTGCAGCAACTTTGGCTGCAGCCCTGGCTCGTCCCGAAGCTGCTCAACTGTGGGACACCGCGTATGTGGTCGACGGAACTGGCAAGAAAGAAACCGGACATCTCCTCAAGCTCAAGTCCGAGCACCGACAAGATGCTCTCCGAACAGTGCAGCGGCTTCACCGGAACCTTGGTCATCCAGCACCTGACGCTCTGGCTGACTTGTTGACCGCCAGAGGAGCTCATCCCACCGTGATCGCTGCTGCTAAGGAGTACAAGTGTGTGGCATGTCTGAAGCACAAGAAGCCCAACCAGGTTGCTCCATCATCCATGCCACAGCCCAAGACCTTCAATGAAGTGATTCAGGCTGACGTCTTCTACCTCAAGCCAGCTGATCGCAAGTTTGCAGTATTGAGCATAGTTGATGTTGGTACCAAGTTCATGGCAGCCTATCTGCTGCATGAGGAGACCTCCAAGTCCTACATCACCGCCCTGGAAAAGATGTGGGTTCGCCACTTTGGCCCTCCCAAGAAGTTGATCTCCGATGAAGGCCGACCCTGGCTTGGCGCACCGTTCGAAACCTGGACAAGCTCTCTGGGCATTGATCATCAAGTAGCACCAGGAGAAGCTCATGAGCGCCTTTCTTTGGTCGAGCGCCGTCATGCAGTGCTGCGCCGTGCCTGTGAGGTCTACATGGATGATCGCAAGCTCAACGATGCTGCAGGCATCAAAGAAGCCCTTTGCTACGTGATCCCTCAACAGAATGCAACTCCATCAATTGCCGGCTTCTCTCCAAGTCAATGGGTACTTGGCTTCCAACCAGAGATGTCACACCTCATGGACTACAATCTCAACGCAGCTCAACTGGCTAGCAACAACAGCACCTTCGAGGAGAACCTTGAGCGCCGCACCTCGGCAAAGATGGCTCTGGCATCAGCTGACGCTGACTCCAAGTTGCGACGTGCTCTCAGTCGCAAGTACCAAGGCCAGAATCGAGTTTTTCAGTTGGGAGAAAGAGTATGGTTCTGGCGTGACGCTCGCCAAGGAGCCTTGAACAAGATTCGATGGCTTGGCCCTGCACACGTTGTTCTTCGTGAAGAAGATGCTGAAGCTGACACCGCAGCTCCTAAGGTCAAGACCTACTGGCTCGCTTACAAGACCCAGTTGATCCGTGCTGCACCTCACCATGTCCGTGCCGACATCCTGGGCCCCCAGCATGTGTTGGAAGACTTGCAGTCAGCCCTCAACAAAGTGAGACAGCTGAAATCCCGTGGAGTCACCCGATTCTACGACTTGAGACGGGTGAATCGCCAACAGCTGGATGATGTCGAGGAAGATGAACAACACACCGAGCCCGATGGGCCCTTGCAGGAAGAAGAAGATGATGAGCCACCCCGACATCGCTTCCGACTGGAACCACCAGTGCCGACAGCAGAGCCACCACAGATCATCGTGGAGTATGAGCCAACTTCACCTGCACACTCTAGCTTTGCACCGACATCACCCAGAGCGCCACCATCACCAGTGACGGCAGAACCAAACATGTTGTTGCCCCTGGCCCCGGCCGAGATCGCTGTACCAGGTTCACCAGCCACTGTTAGGTCTCGTTCACGGGCACCTACTGTGGTTGAACCCAGCGAAGAACCAACCATACCTTCAGCAGCAGCCACACCACACGCCGCATCACCACCAGCCGTGGCAACAGCACCTCAGGCCCCAATGCC